TCTGTTGAAACTGCTACTGTTCTTGAAACTGTATCCATTGTCCCAACAACATATGAGGAACCCATCAAACCACTCAATTATACAACTGAAGTTGAAATTGGAACACGCCCAGAAATTACAACTGAAGTAACAACACCTGAAGAAGTTACTACCACTGTATCACCAAAAACTACGTCAGTACCTATCACGTCTGAAACTGCTACTGTTCTTGAAACTGTATCTATTGTCCCAACAACATATGAGGAACCCATCAAACCACTCAATTATACAACTGAAGTTGAAATTGGAACACGCCCAGAAATTACAACTGAAGTATCTATTAAACCAACTAGAAAATTGATTACATTGAAACCTATTTCGGAGCGTATTGTATGCAATGAAACTGGTTGGACAGATTGGTTTAATGCAGACAGTCCCGATACAAATCCACGCGGAGATTTTGAAATAATTCGAACTCTCAGAACAAAGTACCAATTCTGTTCAGTTGATATGATAACTGATGTACAGTGTAGAGACAGTGTAACTCACCAACCTCCACAATCATCACTTGGTCAGAATGTTCGTTGCACTCCTAGAGGCTTAATGTGTGATAATAACAGACAAGTACCAAGGGGTACAACCTGCTTGGATTATGAGATTAGATTCTACTGTGAATGTGGTGAGTCATTGTTTTTTGTTATGTTCATAACTGTCTGTTTCTATACTGCTTGGATCTATTAACCTTTTCACCACCAGTTCTCTCTTTTCATCACAAATTCACAAAATAGTACTGATTACAGTCTGCACTTTCCTTCAGAAGAGTGGGACAAAAATAGCCAAATGTTTCTTGTGAAAACTGAAAATTGCCCCAAATTTCGTCTGATGGCTCCAAAATTAGGTTTTATTTCCAGAGATATTGAATATAAGAAAAAAGTGCAGAAAAATGTGGGCATGAAAATCTTGTTGTGAAAGGGTTAACTACAACACACTTCACAATAATGTTAAGCCTTAGAATTTGTTTGATATGATTTCTGTAGGGTGCATCATGATAATACATCCAAAAATTGTTAAAAACTTATTAATAAGTAAAATGTGTACACACTATGAATCATTGCAAGATATATTATTTATATAATTTTGCATTTTGCAACATTTTTTCAAATCCCAAATTCCCACAAAACAGTTAACAAAACATAGGATAAGTAAAGACTGTTGGAATTTTTGTAATGTCGATATTACTGAGTGTGTAGCTTATTATTTAGTGGACATTTCTAAAATTCGATTTAAATATTTACTGACATCTTGAACAGATACAGATATGAATATGTAATGAGTTCATTTGCATAATTGTCTTGTAGGTTCTTCAATTATCTGAATCACATGGCTATGTCTGTCCAAATTTTGTGGAACACTGTGCTTAACAATTATATTATTATCCTCATTTATGTACAAAATTATTTTATAGATTTTTCAAATAGACCTACTTTCTGAATTGTATTTAATTTCTCTTTATTTTTCTATAGTATTTACAACGCCTGAGATGTCAACACGCGCAAAAGTTACTACCGCTGTGTCCCCTGAAATATCATCAGTTCCAACTACCCATGTTTCTACTACAGCTGCTACAGTTGTACCAACAACAACAGAGAGACTTATCCGACCACTAAATTATACAACTGGAATTGAATTTGCATCACCTCCTGAATCCTCGACAGCGACAAAAGAACCCGTAGCCCCAGCATGTGAAGAAACCGGATGGACCAAATGGTTCAATGTAGACAATCCATATACTGGTTTGATGAATGGCGACTATGACAACATACCAAATCTACGAAAATATGTGCAATTCTGTCCAGATTATTATATAACTAATGTAGAATGCAGGGATGTGATTAGCCAGGAGGCACCAGAGGATCATGGGCAGTTAGTGGAATGTAGTACCACAAGTGGTCTCATATGTCTTAACACTTACCAGCAGCAGTGTCTGGACTATGAAGTGAGATTTTTCTGTGACTGTGGTAAGTCCAATTTCTCTGCATTTTTATATAAAAAGAGAGAATTGTTTGAGTTATGAACATGAGAGTTATGAACATCGAGTTATGAACAGTTATCAATTTCCAAAAATATTGAGTTACAAAAATGACTATATTTTAGAAACCACGCCCACTTTTGCAAAATAGTATGATTATGCGTCAGCATAGTCTGCGTTAATGCTCGGCAACAACGCCTCAGTTTTAATCCCTAACACATGACTTACGCAACACACGCCAGTCGTAATCCCCCTGCACATGACATCAACGTGTGCCCCTATTCATAGGCACGCGACCTTCCATCTCGTGCACGCCTCGCCCGTGCTATTTCCATTCACACAATGTTTAATCAACAGTTAACAGAACTACGAGTTACGAGCAACATATATTTTTGTAAGTGGCATTTGTTATCAGATAGATTCGCTTGCATGGTTAAGAAAATGTAAACAAATAACATCGCAGTGCGACAGCCAATAACTCAATTAACATCCAAGTAAGTTCATTAAACTTATAAAAAATAAACTAGTCACTCTTCTTTTGTATATTCCATGTTCTCAATGGCATGGCAACCAGAATTGCGTTTTAATTTCGTTATTTTCACGAATAAGTGAAGTTTACTAAATTAAATAAAGTAAAATAACAATTGAACATTGTCAAATTTGTGAAATTAAATCACAGTGAATATGCTCAAATCATCAAGATAGTGAAGTTAAATATCAGTGAAAATAAAGGGTTTTACATTATGTTAAATTTTATAACTTAGAGGATATCAACAACTCTGTTCTGGAAATGTTCACATGGACTTAATGATATGTCATGGTTTGTTTACTGTAAAATACTTTATTTTCACCTCAGACAACTAATAAACAGATTGGCAACGCTATTGTTCAGAGGTGTCAATCGGCCTAATCCCCAGCGAACGTGTGTCTCAGCTATGCTGGTGGCCCACACTTTGCCAAATTTAGCCGAATGGCGAGTACACACATTGGGAACCCTAGGTCTCGCATGCATTTTAGTTATTCTCTGTATTCAGTTCAAATCAGATCACCCGGAAATGAGAGGGTTTTACTTTGAGTTGCTGAATAATATATTTTTTATCCAAAATTGACCATCTTTTAGGAAAGTAACGATTATTTGAATGTATAAACTATCTTCATAGTAATTTTCTTGAATGTATAATTAAGAAAAAGGAACAACTTTTACTAGAACACAACATTTTTTTCCAATAGTGATTTTTCTAGGATATAGTTCACTTCGCTGTGTCTACAACAAAGCTGCTCTATTAAAGCGGGGGGGGGGGGGGGGGGGGGGCTTCGTTG